TAAAGCAGGAGGATCATGAGGTCAAGAGATTGAGACCATCCTGGCTAATGTGGTGAAACATCACCTCTGCTAAAAATACAAAAATTAGCCAGGCAGGGTGGCGCACGCCTATAGTCCCAGCTACTCAGGAGGCTGAGGCAGGAGAATAGCTTGAACCCGGGAGGCGGAGGTTGTAGTGAGCCAAGATCTCGCCACTACACTCTAGCCTGGTGACAGAGCTAGACTCAATCAGAAAAAAAAAAAAAAAAAAAAGCTGCTAGTTTTGGAGAATATGTTCAAGACAAGCCCCAGGCCCACCCACTTCCACCTCTCTCCTTCTGCCCTGGGCCTAAGACTTTTAATGCTCAGCTGTAGAGAAGGAAACCTCTCCTGACTCCTGACGTCATTCAGCATGTCCGACATGACCCTGTGTGCCCATATTTGTGTTCCTTTGAATTAAGGAGATTCATTAAACCTCTGGCAGACTTCATTTTTATTCCTTGATAAGAACTTTCAAATAAATAGATCCAGCCGTGGAAAGAATCGTTTGACAGAGCCATGTCCTAATTCTGGCTTGGGTAATGTGGTTCTCAAGTTGTCAGCTGGGAATGCGCAGGAGAGACCAGGCCTGGTTCCCACCTGCCGCACTGCAGACCTTGTGGGAGGGAATGAGCAGGCTGACCTTGACTCTGGCTACTTGGAGGGATGCAGGGGAGGTCTGGCTCTGCCTCCAGGGGCTTAGGAACAGCACCAAGATCTCAGCAGGCCCCAGGGCCCCAGGGCCTGGAAGCAGAAGCTCCTTCTTTTCCCCTGGGAGTTTGCTTCAGAATGTGCTAAACCCAGCTCCAGCGTACCCTGGAGCTGCCTGCCCAGGGACCACCTCCAGCTGCCATTTCTATTCTGAGCGGGCAGAGCCTGCGTCACTCCCAGCATCAAGTGTCCACAGAGGAAGCCACATGCTACTGAAAGCACCTCAACAGAGGCTCCACACACTGGAGTCTGTCCCAGGCCTGCTCCATGATGGGCTCTTGGCCACGCCTCTGCCCGTCTCCACACGGAAGACATTTATCAGACCGTTACCATGTCACCAGTTCTACATCTTCCCACAACCCTAGCTTCCCTATTTTACAGGAGACCGATGCTCAGAGAGATTAAGTGACTTGGCTAAGACCATACAACTGGGCCAGGTGTGGTGGCTCATGCCTGTAATCTCAGCATTTTGGGAAGCTGAGGCGGGCCAGGAGGTCAGGAGTTTGAGACCAGACTGGCCAACAGGGGGAAACCCCGTGTCTACTAGAAATACAAAAATTAGCTGGGCATGATGGTGGGCACCTGTAATCTCAGCTACTTGGGAGGATGAGGCAGGAGAATTGCTTGATCCCAGGAGGTGGAGGTTTCAGTGAGCAGTGATTGTGCCACTGCACTCCAGCCTGAGTGACAGAGCAAGACTCTGTCTTAAGGGAAAAAAAAAAGACTGTACAACTGGTAAGGGAAAGAGCCAGAAATGAACTCAGGACTCTTTATTTTTCCTAAGCGTTTTTTTTGTACTTTGGGCTCTGGGGTGCATGTGCACATCCTGCATCCTGCAGGATTGTTCCGTAGGTACACATATGCCACAGTGGATTGCGGTCTCCATCCGCCCCCCGCCCCGCCCGCCCGTCACCTACATCAGGCATTTCTCCCAGTGTTATCCCTCCCCATCACCACCCCCCGTTGTCCCTCCCCTCCCCTCCCCTTCCTTCCACCCCCCCCTCACCTAGCCCAGTGAGTGTTGTTCCCTTCCCTGTGCCCAAGTGTTCTCATTGTTCATCACCTGCCTACGAGTGAAAACATGCGGTGTTTGGTTTTCTGTTATTGTGTCAGTTTGCTGAAAATGATGGTTTCTAGATTCATCCATGTCTCTACAAAGGACATGAACTAGTCATTTTTATGGCTGCATGGTATTCCACGGTGTGTATGTTCCACATTTTCTTTGTCCAGTCTATCATTGATGGGCATTTGGGTTGGTTCCAGGTCTTTGCTATTGTAAACAGTGTTGCAATGAACATATGTGTGCATGTATCTTTATAATAGAATGATTTATAATCCTTTGGGTATATGCCCAGTAACGGGATTGCTGGGTCAAATGGAATTTCTATGTCCTTGAGAAATCGCCACACTGTCTTCCACAATGGTTAAACTAATTTACACTCCCACCAGCAGTATAAAAGTGTTCCTATTTCTCCACATCCTCTCCAGCATCTGTTGTCTCCAGATTTTTTAATGATCGCCATTCTAACCAGCATGAGATGGTATTTCAATGTGGTTTTGATTTGCATTTCTCTAATGAGCAGTGATGATAAGCATTTTTTCATATGTTTGTTGGCCTCATGTATGTCTTCTTTTGTAAAGTGTCTGTTCATATCCTTCGCCCACTTTTGAATGGGTTTGGTTTTCTTTTTGTAAATCTGTTTTAGTTCTTTGTAGATTCTGGATATTAGCTCTTTGTCAGATGGGTAGATTGCAAAAAAAAAAATTCGCATTCTGTCGGCAAATTCAGGACTCTTGAGAACTCAAAGGGAGCCAGTGATAGTGTATTGTGAACACAAGGTCCTGGCCTGCTGGCTGCTCTTGAAAAAACAAGCAGGGCTCAGGGACTACAGAACTAGCTCCTAGACTTTGAGGGCTGTTGGGAGCACCCAGCATCAGAAAGAGGATTCCATCCAGCCTGCAGCTGAGCAGGTGGTAAATGTTCCGGCCTGCAGAGATCCGAGTCACCAGTTCCGATAGGCAACTTCAACTCTACCAGGACAGGAATCTGAATGGGCCGGGTGGTGGAGCCTTGCCTGGGCCGGTGGTGGAGGTCGGAAGCATTTGACTGCGAGTAACAGAAACTCTGACTAACAAGGGTTTAATCAAACAGGGAGGATCATTACTCATCCTAATTGTCAAATAATGATTATCAAATAATCAAATACCTCTCCCATATGAGAAAAAGTTGGAGGTCGGTGGTATTGATTTGGCCACTCGAATGGTGACAGCAAGAAACCAGGTTCTTTCTGCCACCGTCCTGTGTTGGCATTTTGTGCTAATGCTTGTCCAGCTTAAAGCCTTCATGTGGCTGCTGCAGCTCCGGGCATCACATCTGCATTCAGGGCAGGAGGAAGAAAGAAAGATGACATCAGGGACATTTTCCCCTTTAATCGGGGTATTAAAAACCTCAACTTCCTAGTTAAAAGATTTAATAAACCGGTTAAAAACCTGAAAGGAGGCCGAGTGTGATGGCTCAGGCCTGTTATCCCAGCACTTTGGGAGGCAGAGGAGGGTGGATCACCTGAGGTCAGGGGTTCAAAACCATCCTGGCCAACATGGTGTAACCCTGTCTCTACTAAAAATACAAAATTAGCCCAGCATGGTGACGCATGCCTGTAATCTCAACTACTCGGAAGGCTGAGGCAGGAGAATCGCTTGAACCTGGAGGGCAGAGGTTGAGGTGAGCTGAGATTGTGCCATTGCACTCCAGCCTGGGCAACAAGAGGGAAACTCCAGTTCAAAAAAACAAAAACAAAAACGACAAAACAAAACAAAAAACCTGAAAGGAGGGAACAAAGTCTCCCAAGAGCCCAAAAATGGAGTCACGTGGCCACTTTTAGCTGCAAAAGAAGCTGAACAAAAGATGATGTGGCTTTGGCCTTCTGTGGTGGGATGGTGATGTGGGAGAAGGAGATTGCGAATGGCTTGTTAGTTCGCCAACCAGCAGAAGCTGCCATCGAATTCCACATCTTGGCCATGTCATGGCATTCAAAGGATACATTGCAGAAGTCCGTCCCGGTCAATGCACCTTTTTTTTTTTTTTTTTTTTTTGAGACGGAGTTTCGCTCTTGTCACCCAGGCTGGAGTGCAATGGTGCGATCTCGGCTCACCGCAACCTCCATTTCCTGAGTTCAAACAATTCTCCTGCCTCAGCCTCCCGAGTAGCTGGGACTACAGGCACGCGCCACCATGCCTGGCTAATTTTTTGTATTTTTAGTAGAGACGGGGTTTCACCATGTTGACCAGGATGATCTCGATCTCTTGACCTAGTGATCCACCCGCCTCGGCCTCCCAAAGTGCTGGGATTACAGGCTTGAGCCACCGCGCCCGGCCCCTCAATGCACCTTTATACGTGCTGTTTCTGGGAACTGGGACCCCCATTCAATTCCTACACATCTCATATTTGCCTAACAAAGCCCTCAGTATATTCTGAAACTACTTTTAGAAGCAATTTGGCAACATGTGTCAAGGGCCATAAAAGTGTTCATAAATTTTGACCCAGTATTTCCACTTCTGAGAATTTATTTGCTCCAAGGAAATAACTTAAAAGGAAAAAGAAAAAGAAAAAAAACCTACATACTCCAGGATGTTCATTGCAGCATTAATAACAAGAAACAACCTGCCCGACCCGGTGGCTCACGCCTGTAATCCCACCACTTTGGGAGGCGGAGGTGGGTGGATCACGAGGTCAGGTGATCAAGAACAGCCTGGCCAACATGGTAAACCCCATCTCTACTAAAAATACAAAAATTGGGCCAGGCGCGGTGGCTCATGTCTGTAATCCCAGCACTTTGGAAGGCCGAGGAGGGTGGATCACGAAGTCAAGAGATCGAGACCATCCTGGTCAACATGGTGAAACCCTGTCTCTACTAAAAATACAAAAAATTAGCTGGGCACGGTGGCGCGTGCCTGTAGTCCCAGCTACTCGGGAGGCTGAGGCAGGAGAATTGCCTGAACCCAGGAGGCGGAGGTTGCGGTGAGCCAAGATCGTGCCATTGCACTCCAGCCTGGGTGACAAGAGCGAAACTCCGTCTCAAAAAAAAAAAAATACAAAAATTAGCCAGGCATGGTGGTACACACATGTAGTCCCAGCTACTCTGGAGGCTGAGGCACAAGAATCGCTTGAACTTGGGTGGCAGAGGTTGCAGTGAGCCGAGATCACGTCACTGTATTCCAGCCTGGCAACAGAGCAAGACTGCCTCTCAAAAAAAAAAAAAAAAAAGAGCTTCTTCTCCAATAAAACACCAAATGGCGGATGACGCCGGTGCAGCGGGGGGGCCCGGAGGCCCCGGGGGCCCCGGGATGGGGAACCGCGGTGGGTTCCGCGGAGGTTTCGGCAGTGGCATCCGGGGCCGGGATCGCGGCCGTGGACGGGGCCGGGGCCGGGGCCGAGGCCGCGGAGCTCACGGAGGCAAAGCCGAAGATAAGGAATGGATGCCTGTAACCAAGTTGGGCCGCCTGGTCAAAGACATGAAGATTAAATCTCTGGAGGAGATCTATCTTTTCTCTCTGCCCATCAAGGAATCTGAAATCATTGACTTTTTCCTGGGGGCCTCTCTCAAGGATGAGGTTTTGAAGATTATGCCGGTGCAGAAGCAGACCCGTGCTGGCCAGCGCACCAGGTTCAAGGCGTTTGTTGCTATTGGGGACTACAATGGTCACGTCGGTCTGGGTGTTAAGTGTTCCAAGGAGGTGGCCACTGCCATCCGTGGGGCCATCATCCTGGCCAAGCTCTCCATTGTCCCCGTGCGCAGAGGCTACTGGGGGAACAAGATCGGCAAGCCCCACACCGTCCCTTGCAAGGTGACAGGCCGCTGTGGTTCTGTGCTGGTGCGTCTCATCCCCGCGCCCAGGGGTACTGGCATCGTCTCAGCACCTGTGCCTAAGAAGCTGCTTATGATGGCTGGTATCGATGACTGCTACACCTCAGCTAGGGGCTGCACTGCCACCTTGGGCAACTTTGCCAAGGCCACCTTTGATGCCATCTCTAAGACTTACAGCTACCTGACCCCCGATCTCTGGAAGGAGACAGTGTTCACCAAGTCTCCCTATCAGGAATTCACTGACCACCTTGTCAAGACCCACACCAGAGTCTCCGTGCAGAGGACCCAAGCTCCAGCTGTGGCTACAACATAGGGTTTTTATACAAGAAAAATAAAGTGAATTAACATTATAAAAAAAAAAAAAAGAAAGAAAGAAACTAAGCCCCTAACAATAGAGGAATAGGTGATTAAATCAGAAGCACACTGACTGGATGGCGAATTGCCTGGTCATTAACAGCTGCTGATGATAAACATCACTTAGTAATGCAAAAAGGGGCTGTGATGTAATGCTATACTAAACAACAGCAAGCAGCCAGGCACACCGGTAATCCCAGCTCCTTAGGAGGCTGAGGCAGGAGGATCACTTGAGCCCAGACGTTCGAATCCAGCCTGGGCAACATAGCAAAACCCTGTCTCTTAAAAAAAAAAAAAAAAGTGTATATATATTTGTAATCAAATGCATTATTTGGATTGCATACTTAAATGATAAGTGCCTTGTAGACAAAGAAGTGAAGGGAATTTACAAAAGTTGTTGGGTTAAGGCACTGAAATTATAGGTGGAGTTTTTTTCTCTCCATTATTGAGAATTTCCGTGATGGTGTTATGTAGTTTTTAACATAATTAGGGTGGGTTTAGGATTAAAATATCCTGCTCTCAAGTCCCAGCTCAAACGCCACCTCCTCTGAAATTCTTTTTTTTTTTTTTTTTTTTTGAGGCAGAGTCCTACTCTGTCACCCAGGCTGGAGTGCAGCGGCACAATCTTGGCTCACTGCAACCTCCGCCTCCTAGGTTAAAGTGATTCTCCTGCCTCAGCCTCCCGAATAGGTAGGATTACAGGCGCCTGCCACCATGCCCAGCTAGTTTTTTTGTATTTTTAGTAGAGACAGGGTTTCACCATGTTGGCCAACCTGGTCTCAAACTCCTGACCTAAGGTGTCCACTTGTCTTGACCTCCCAAAGTGCTGGGTTCCCAGGCGTGAGCCACTGTGCCCGGCCTCTGAAGTTCTTCTTTTGCTGGACCATGTACTCTCCTGGGGCTACAACCACGTCCAATTCTCCCTTATTCCTAACCCCTGATGGGCGCCAGGAATCAAGAAGGCCACATGTCACAGACAAGAACCCAGACTAAGAGCCCAGTATGGGGGAGGCGGCAAGGGATCAGGGACATGGACAATCAGGAACCAGGCACAGGATGTAAGTACCGGTCCAGGGCACTGGCAGGGAGCAGGGTTTGAGAAGTAGAGGCATAAAGCTGCCAGGCATTGAGTGACAGCTGGTCTTTCAAGTTATTTTAACTGCATTATTATTATTACATAAGTAAAACACATATACACACTCACTGGAAAAAAATTAAATAGTTCAGGCCAGGTGCAGTGGCTCATGCCTGTCATCCCAGCTTTGGGAGGCCAAGGCGGGCGAATTACAAGATCAGGAGTTCGAGACCATCCTGGCTAACACGGTGAAACCCCGTCTCTACTAAAAATACAAAAAAAGCGTGGTGGTGCATGTCTGTAGACCCAGCTACTCAGGAGGCTGAGGCAGGAGAATCGCTTGAACCCGCGAGGCGGAGGTTGCAGTGAGCTGAGATCACGCCACTGCACTCCAGCCTGGGTGACAGAGCAAGACTCCATCTTAAATAAATAAATACATACATAAATATATAAATCATTCAGATAAAGCCCCCCTTGGCTCCCACACAATCCCACTCACCTCCCTAGGGAGTGTCAGTTTGGTGGGAATCTTCCAGAAGATCTTTTCTGGTGCACAGTTGTGAATTGTGCATACACATTTATACAAACAGAGCCATATTGTTTTGTGATGTGTTTTTCTCTTGTAATGAGACCTTTTCACCTCAGGATGTAAAGGTCTCTCTACTTACCTGGTCCCCAGAAAATCATTACTAGTGTATACACTCAAAGATGTATTTAGGACTGAGTGTGGTGGCTCACACCAGCTCTCTGGGAGGCTGAGAAAGGAGGATCACCTGAGGTCAGGAGTTCGAGACCAGCCTGGCCAATATGGCGAAACCCCGTCTATACCGAAAATATGAAAATTAGCTGGGTATGGTGGCCACACCTGTAATCCCAGCTACTCAGGAGGCTAAGGCAGGAGAACCACTTGAACCTGGGAAGCGGAGGTTGCAGTGAGTCAAGATTGCTCCACTGCACTCCATCCTGGGCAACAGAGTGAGACTTTGTCTCAAAAACAAACAAACAAACAAACAACAAGAATGTATTTGGCCCTTTCTCTACCAAGGAACATTCCGGTTATTTCTGATTGTTCACATTCCATCACCACCGCAATGACCTCCGGTGAACGTGGCCCCTGGTACACTTGGAGCATTTCTCCCAGCAGAGACTTGGAATTGCTCTTATGAGGTTTGGGTGTTTTCCATTTCAGTAGGCACCGCCGGATCACGCTCTACACGTGCTAGGGCCATTTCCATTTTTACCAATGGTGATGAAGGTATTCAGCGCCCTTAGATTCTTCCCAACAGTGGCCATTGCAAATCTTTTTTAAATTCTGCAAATCTGACAGGTGAAGAGTGTGAACTCAGTGTAATTTTTTTTTGAGACGGAGTTTTGCTCTTGTTACCCAGACTGGAGTGCAATGTCGTGATCTCGGCTCACTGCAACCTCCGCCTCCCGGGTTCAGGCAATTCTCCTGCTTCAGCCTCCCGAGTAGCTGGGGCTACAGGTGTGCGCCACCATGCCCAGCTAATTTTTGTATTTTTAGTAGAGACGGGGTTTCACCTTGTTGACCAGGATGGTCTTGATTTCTTGACCTCGTGATCCACCCGCCTCGGCCTCCCAAAGGGCTGGGATTATAGGCGTGAGCCACCGTGCCTGGCCAACTCAGTGTAATTTATACTTGCATTTCTTTCTTTTTTTTTTTTTTTTGAGACAGTTTCACTCTTGTTACCCAGGCTGGAGTGCAATGGCGTGATCTTGGCTCACCTCCACCTCCCAGGTTCAAGCAATTCTCCTGCCTCAGCCTCCCGAGTAGCTGGGACTACAGGTGTGCGCCACCATGCCCAGCTAATTTTTGTATTTTTAGTAGAGACGGGGTTTCACCTTGTTGACGAGGATGGTCTCGATCTCTTGACCTGGTGATCCACCTGCCTCGGCCTCCCAAAGGGCTGGGATTATAGGCGTGAGCCACCGCGCCCGGCCAACTCAGTGTTATTTTTACTTGCATTTCTTTGATGACTAGTGAGGCCGAGATGCTTTCATGTGTTTCTTGCCTATTTGCAGTTCCTCTTAGGTGAACTGTCTGTTCCCAGCACCTGTGTTTTCTTTGGTGTTATCTTTTGCTTGTTATGGTAGGAATTCCTTACAGACCGTGAATATGAATCTTTCTCTGTTGCACGTGTTCTAGACACCTTCTTCCAGTCTGTCACTTGCCTTTTAACAGTATTTACAGCATCTTCTGTTATACAGCAGTTTCAAATTTGGACATAATCAAATTTAGCAATCTTTTCCTTTATGGTTTCTGTGTTTTATGTCTTGCTAAAGAAAGCCTTTCCTGCCCCAAGGTTATAAACAAATTCTCCTATATTTTCTTTTAATAGTTTTATAGCTTTGTTTTTTTTTTTTTTCATTGAGCTCTCTAATCCATCTGGAATGTATTTCAGTGAATGGTGTGAAGCAGGAATCTAACTTTATGGTTTTTTCCATGAGGATGGCCAATTGTCTCTACAAAACTTGCTGAAGAGTCCCTCTTTTCCTATTGCTTTTTTCTAGCTTTATTGAGGGCTGACTGACAAATAAAAATTGTATATATTCAAGGTCTATGATGTGATGATTTGATATACATTCCATCGCGAATGATGACCACAGTCAAGCTAATTGACACGTTCATCACAGTTACTTTTGCATGTGTGTGGTGAGAACACTTAAGATCTATTTTCTGGGCCAGGCATGGTGGCTCATGCCTGTAATCCTAGCACTTTAGGAGGCTGAGGCGGGCTGATCACCTGAGGTCAGGAGTTCAAGACCAGCCTGGCCAACATGGTTGAAACCCCATCTCTACTAAAATACAAAAATTAGCCAGGCATGGTGGTGCATGCCTGTAGTCCCATCTACTCAGGAGGCTGAGGCAGGAGAATAACTTGAATTCTGAAGGCGGAGGTTACAGGGAGCCGAGATCGCACCACTGCACTCCAGCCTGGGTGACAGAGAGAGACTCCATCTCAAAACATAACAAAACAAAATACATGTATTTTTTTCTTTGCAAATTTCCAGTATACCATACAGTATTATTAACTGTAGTCACCATGCCGTAATTAGATCCCCAGCATTTTTCTTATAACTGAAAGTTTGTTCTGCTGCTTTTATTCATTTATTTATTTTTGAGAAAGAGTCCAGCTCCGTTGCCAAGGCTGGAGTGCAGTGGCGTGATCTCGGCTCACCACAGCCTCCACCTCCCGGGTTCAAGCGATTCTCCTGCCTCAGCTTCCCGAGTAGCTCAGACTATAGGCACCCACCACCACACCCGGCTAATTTTTTTGGTATTTAGTAGAGACAGGGTTTCACTGTGTTAGCCAGGATGGTCTCGATCTCCTAACCTCATGATCCTCCCACCTTGGCCTCCCAAAGTGCTGGGATTAGAGGTGTGAGCCACTGCACCCGGCCTGTTCTGTTGCTTTCAAATGCTACTTTATTACATAGTGAATTCCTCTTAATCCAGAGCCAATTTTTCAGCTCTCTGCTCAGTGACACTGATCCAGCTTGTCTTAGGCCAGCACACCATTTTAATGAGTACACTTTGGCGATATTTTGATACCTGATAGGGAAGTCTCCTCTCATTGCACTTCTTTTTCGAATATTTCTTGGTTATTCTGATACAATTATTCTTCCAGATTCGTCTTAGAATGGGCTTTTTCAATCTCTCCCTGCCCTGCCCCAAAACCCTGCTGTGATTTCGGCTGGCATTACTTTTTGAGTTTACAGAATCATTTGGGCAGAACTGACACCTGCACAGTATAAAGTGTTCTCACCTAGGCTGGGCGGGTGGCTCACGCCTGTAATCCCAGCACTTTGGGAGGCTGAGGTGGGCGGATCACGAGGTCAAGAGTTAGAGACCACCCTGGTCAACATGGTGAAACCCCGTCTCTACTAAAAAATA